ATGCATTGGGCGCCTTGGAATCTCTTTACAGTTTTGTGAGCTTGAACGCTTCATCAGCAGGTGCCGAAAGCTGAATGTTGGCTTGTCCTCATACTGAGGTGCAGCCCCAATACCAAGAACCTGAGCACGACACTGTGTTTGGCGATGCACATGCTGCGAATGATTTGGATACGGATGCATTAGCATCCCTGCTGAACGGCGCCTCAGCACGGAACAGGTGCCATTGCGCTGCTACTAACTGATTGCGACGACATGCTTCGCAATGCTTGTTGAGCTGAGGTACCAGAACGAACACTGCGCCGAAGAGTCGTGCAATACACCACAAGAAGACTGAAGGGATAAAGGCCGGCGGCTTTGCGTTTCCGGTGCTCCGGCATTGAGTCCTTAGTTCCATGCATCAGCCAAGCTTTCAATTGCCTCTGGGAAGGTTCTCGATGATTCAAGAGCACAGAACATCGCCATCGTTTTGAGCAAGCTCCCGGTGTCGTCCGAAGACGTTTGCGAAGTGCTGAGGACACTTGATTTTTCTCGGCTTGCACTTTCATATGACATTGTGGAACTGTTGACGAGCATACTCCCGACGCCGGAAGAAACGCAAAAGCTACTGAGTCACGAGGATTGTCCAGAGCGTTTGAGGGACATTGAACAGAAGGTACTGCCTTTCTGCTTTCTGCCACGGGCAGCTGCTCGCTTGAGACTTTTTCGGTTTGCCGCTTCGCATGCAGAAAGTGCGGCAACGTACCTACAACGGTGTCGCACGCTGGATCTTGCCGCGTTGGAAGCCAAAAGCAGCCAAGAGCTGCGGAAGATCCTGGCTCTGATTCTTCGCATTGGCAACTACATCAACCACGGAATTAGGGACGTCAGCGATGGCGCCGGGGCATGCGCTTTCTCCATTCAGACTCTGGCTGCCATTGCAAGTTTTCGACTTGGCAGCATGTCCACTCTCCAATTTCTTTGCGTGACCTGTCGCCGACAAAATCCGAGATTTCTTGACGCGTTACAGCTGAGTTTGAAGCATGTTCCAAAGGCGGCCAGGGAGAAGAGCGTGCATTTAAAGTCTTGCATCCAAGCCTTCCGGAAAGAAGTTGACTTCGCAGGGATGGAGGTATCCACAATGCCGGAGGATCAACTTTCAGAGGTCACAGCCGGACTTCTGAAAGATTTAAACGCAGAAGCTCTTCAGTTGGAGAGCTCACTGGCGATGGCGTATGGTAAGTGCGAGGAGGCCCAACGGTACCTTTGCACATCCGAGGACAAGGCAAACGATGCAACTCCGCCTGCCTACGAGAGTTTATTCTTGCACCTGTCCGACTTCCTTGAGTCTTTTCGGAAAGCCTGGAGAGAGACGGAACCTGGTCCCAGCCAGAAAAGTCGAGTACACCTGCAAAGCAGGCATGTTCCCAGCCAGAAAGGTCACTTGCAGAGCTGCATGTGAGACTTGCAGCATGCATCGCCAGACGGAACCTGTTCCCAGCCACAAACGTCGAGTACACCTGCAAAGCAGGCATGTTCCCAGCCAGAAAAGTCACTTGCAGAACTGCATGTGAGACTTGCAGCATGCATCGCCAGACGGAACCTGTTCCCAGCCAGAAAAGTCGAGCACACCTGCAAAGAAGGCATGTTCCCAGCCAGAAAATTCACTTGCAGAACTGCATGTGAGACTTGCAGCATGCATCGCCAGACGGAACCTGTTCCCAGCCACAAACGTCGAGTACACCTGCAAAGCAGGCATGTTCCCAGCCAGAAAAGTCACTTGCAGAACTGCATGTGAGACTTGCAGCATGCATCGCCTGCAAAGCAGGCATGGGCGGCTCATGAAAGACTCATGTCAGGCTTAGGGTTGATTAGGGTTTTCGGGTGTAGAACACCGCTAAAGGTTGCTTCTATGCCAATTCAAAGCCCTAAGCCCTAAGCCCACAACTTGATACAAGCAGACAAGACACTTCGAGCCCAAGCGCGCTGGGGTGGTCGCCCATCTGTGGGTGCACCTACCTACCCAAGAGTACCTCCTGATCCACCAGTCTCAACGCACTTCAACTGAACTGTGTCTTGTTGGTCGTATGCATTCGCAGGTACCATGTCAAGGAACCCAAGTCGACTAAAAGAATCCGTTCCTCCATTCCCAACAGTATTAGCCGCGCAATTAATACATATAGCTTTTCGGTCACTGCTGCGAATAGCAGTTTTACTTCTGGCTGTCACCCTGATGCATGTCTTCGACCTTGTGGTGTAGGTTTTAGAGATGACTTTCCATAGTTTGGCTGGCGGTACATGCTTTGAACGTTCTGCCGTTCCTCCTGCTCCTCCTCCTGCTCTTCCATCATGCTGCTGTGCTACTGCCGGGGTCCGGTTCCTCCTACTGTCATCCAACCCCATCCCTCTTGCACCTCCTACTGCTTGCAGTGCACTCCCGCTTCTGTCGCCTGAGCAGGCCGTCAAGGAGCTCTGTAGCAGCACTGGCACGGAGATCGACCTGGATAAGCTCAGCACAGGCGCTAGTGTTGACGGGAACTGGGGCATGCGTAGCGGTTTTGAGGATCGCTTCTTGAATCTGGAGTCTAGGGCGGGCTTCGGGCTTAGTGGTAAGAGTGAAGGTGGCATCTAGGTCAATGATTTTCATGTATTCTCGGGAGAACTTGGGTGTGGCAAAAGAACCTTCAAGATAGTGCATGAGTCGCTTCCGCGAATGTTTCTGAGGTTGCTTTAGGAGTGTCCGAACATTCGGAATCCTCTGCTTGGTTTGCTGAGGCAGATAAAAAGCTTCGCAGACCATCTATGGAGACAAGGAGGGAGGTAAACAGAGAGAGAGAGAGAGATCAACCTCGCCGCTGTAGCATGTTTACATCACGAATGTGGGGTTGGAGGTTGGATGGTGTAGGATTGTACCCAACCTCGAGTCAGGTGATCACCTACAAGTTCAGATTAATTGCTCTTTCTACACTGCAAGCCCTACACTCCTGTGAGCTCTGCAGAGGTGCAGAGCAGCTTCTGTTCATCATCGACAGCGCAGTGGGGGTTCTCTTGTCTTCGGTCCCAAGACCTCCAAGACCGCTGAACCGAATAAGGATTTGGGGCTTACAACCTGGGAGTTGTAGTAAGTGTCGTGTCGAGAAAGTTGTGGAGTGTATGGCCTTTTGCATCAGTTTGCACACAAGGACACGGTTTGAGATTCTTCCCATTTGTCGCCATGAATCAGATCTTGATCACGGTTTAGGGTTATTGGTTGCCTCAATAGAGGTTACTTAATGAAGGTCGTCGATGGCCCGCAGGAGGCTGCAGGTGCTGCGCCATTCACTGAGCCCTAGATCCGCAAGTCCTTCTTTGGGCGCCTCTTGCGCCGCATCGGGGGGTGTACAGTGTACGTTAAGTTCCCTCACACGCAGTCTCCTAGCCGCTTTGGACCCTGCTTTGTTCCTTCGTCCGCATACTGTAGGTGCAATGATCTCCGTTTCTTTGCAGGTAGTGATCCATGCTGCACAGCTCGTGGTTGGCCGACTATCTGAGGCGCAACACATGCAACGCTTCTCATGGCAGACCGGCTGACTCGTGACAATAAAAACAGTCACACTGGCACGAGCACGGCAGCAATTCAGCTGGTGATTTTCATCCTACTGCAGGGATGGTGCTCCTGAATGCGATTCTGTCAGCATGACTCCTCAACATGGTTTCGTGGCCAGTGCTTACATGAGCACTCGCCTGATTGCTAGTTTCCAGGAGTTTACGACATTAGGCAAATACTAACGTTGTAATCCATGCATCGCACCCAGCCCAAAATCTCTTGCAAACAGCCTCAACATGCAAAGGTTCTTATAGGAAATAGTGAACATTCTGCACGGCGGAAGGTGTGTTTCACACAGGAACAGGTATTCCCTCAGACCCCTTCCGAAACCCAGTCAGTTTCCATGTCATTTGGTGTTCCACTACTTGTCTCTCCTTAATCGGGAGAATATCCCCTAAAGCCCTATATGGTCCATACCGTCCCCATGTGCATATGTATGTATCCCCTCATCATTTCATGCCGCAGCTTGTTCACATCAAGCCGCTCCCTTCATTTCGATTTCCTTGTTGCCGACCGGGCCATAGCCTAAGCATGCCGAAGCTTGAGGGGGTTGTCAGTCAGGATTTGCGAATTTCTTATGGGATGCGAGATGAATGCAGGGGCGCATCTTAAGAACGGTATGCCGATGATTTGGAGAGAGTCCCGAGACTTGCAAGCGGCAATAACGAGTCAGTTTACTGTGGCCCTCGAGTAACGCGGAAGTCTGAAAGATGAGAGTTGTTTTTCAGCTGTATGACACTCGATAGAATTGTGAGGGAGGGCTATTCCGAATCATGCAGACCCCTGCATGGGTTGGAATGCAAACATTGGGAATCACGTTCCGCAAGTTTTAATTCGCGAAGATCCTGGTTTCTGGCTCAAAAGACATCCGGGCAGGAATAGGCCATTCAGCACGAGACTCTTTCCCAAGCTAAGCATGGAGGCCCAAGCTAGAAGCAGGTAATATCTTATGGATGGGTTTCAAGTACTACCGAAGCATTGTGCTTCACAATCCTTCTGGCTATTTCGTGAGGAAAGCATATCAGGCTTTTTCTGAGCTTCTCGTTCCGGATCATGGAGGGTCAGGAGGACATGGTCAGTATACTTACAAGCTTTAGTAAGTATACAACCCGAGAAGCTATGTCATGAGCCTGTTTTCCCACCCAAGGTTTCACCTTTAATCCAGAATGGTCTACGTGTTAATTTCGATCCATCCCGAGAAACCCTACAGCCCACAATCCCTAAACACTGTAGGGTAGGCCCTAAACCTACAAGTAGAGATCGGCCTTGGGATCTGGAGGCATGGCATTGGCCTCCGTCGACCCGACGATCAAGCCCGTCCAGGCTGCTTTGTGGGGCGTTGATTTAAATGTCTTCGGGGGCATGTATTTACGGTTTCCTTGCAGGTCCTTAAGGAAGCCCGCAGTGGCCATTTTGGGAACAGGGATTTTGATCACTGGTGGTCTGGTCGGCATAATAAGCGCCTGCTGATGATAATGCGATGGGGATCCGTTCAGCTGCTGCAGAGCGCTCATACGTCGGTCAAAACAAGTCTGAGGGATTCAATAGATCTTTACGATTGTATTTCTTGCGCTCATGTGGAAGGCCCTACTTTCCACGTTTGATGCTAGCCAAAGGCATCATCATATTGATGTCAATCAACGCCACCGCTGTCCACACCGTGCTAGTGTTCTCTTTTTTCGTGCAGAACAGCGCAGTGGCGTTCCCTGCATGGATGGGTCACTTGTTGATGTTGGCCTCTGTTCCGTGCAGGACTGTTCCCCCCAAGGCAATGATGGTGCTATGCCTGAGCCCTCAGGAATCCATCGAGCGAGCTTGCCGTGGCAAAGAGGCCTCCGTACCTTCCACTGAACCGCTTCTTCCTGTTGTATCATTGGCGTGGAGCTCCACAGCAGTCTGAACCTTGCCAACATTTGTGGACGTAATTTCGCGTGAGCCCGTCTTAGACTTGAACCTTCGACAGTACCGGATGCTCATTATTCTAGGGTTCATACTACAGAGCAGGCAAGAATAGGCGTAGAGCCATGCAGGCGTTCACAAGCTGTGTTTGCATGTATCCGCCAGTAGGCAGCCCTCACTAGCCCTGAACATATTGTGTGTAATTCCTCCACAGTCTGGTTTTTGGAGCGCTGGGAGGTGCCTGCTGGTGCCAATGCTTGCGACGTTCGGGTCAGCATTGACACCACAGACACTCTGGGGGAGCTGAAGGAGAAGGCTTGCAACTGAGTATTTGGAGGTTCAGGGAAGTACACTTACAAGCAGGTTATCGTTCCTGTGAGCCTCCCAGCAGGGAAGCTGCGCAGCAGGAGGTCTCTGCGCACGTCAACTTCCCACTGACAAGCTTTCGCCTGATGTAATGTTGGGTTCAGAGTTTAGCGTTTGGGGGTTAGGGTTTGAAATGTCCCCCAATAAACGCACCTCATAACACCATATTGAGACTTTTTGCAAACTGTCTACAAGGGGGTAGGGGAATATCTGTTATTCGGGGTGTGGAGTTTCTCTTTAGTGTAACGGAAAGGTGATAAACTTGGAAGCCTCAATGAGGTAAGGCTGTTGTAATGGTTATTGGTGAATGCACGCAAGTCCATATGGGGTTCCTAGGTAAGACTGGCGAGTGTGTGTGTGTGTGTATACATATATACATATATATATATATATATGTATATTTATGTTTGCGTGTATATATATATATATATATATATATATATATGTATATAATACATACAGATACATGGTTCCCCCCCGGGGAGGTCGGAGATGAATACCTCTATCTATACTTCATTTATCAAAACCAGAGATCCATGGTTTTGCTTGTTTTCTGCCATGACCTTAGGCTTCTCACCATGCACGCCTTTAACAGCGATGCTTGCATGTTA